AGTGATCAGTCATCACCATGACACTATTGCTGGACTTATGAGCCTCCTCTACATTACCATAATCAGGCAAGATTGAGATCGCAGCTTGCTTCACTGCAGTGTTCACCGAAGGGTAACTCCTACCGGTCTCTGTCAAAAGTTATTGTAGATTTGGATTCCACTGATGTAATGTATTTTATTAATTTTATAAGTTATTATGTCCTTAGGAGATTTATGGCGGGCATTAATCAAGTCTCATGCATTAATTATTCGTCATCGGAATCAATAATAAACTAGTTTTTGTAGAAAATTTTCTCTTACATTAAAGTTCCGAAGTACTCATTCTGGTGTAAACAAAAATATTCGTAATAGTCTGGTAATAATACTAAATTGAATATTATTCAAAATTTTACCATATTCGAGGAACGCTGCAATTTTACGTGCTCCAAATAACAGTAAATCTGTCCAATATTCATTGGACCGCGCCAATGAACGCATAAAGGCACGCTGCGAAAAATTCAATATGACTGCCAGAAAAAATATTGAGCTTTTTTGTGAGCTAAAGCAGAAGTTATTTGCACTCAAATTTACTATGCGATGTCACAGCTTCTAATAAATTTCGGGTCAACTCCGCTCATTTTAAGGGCTTCCATAAAGTTGTGTTTTATATTAATACATCTAAAATACAGTTTTAAATTTTTGCTGTGCCCTATTGTATTTCCTAACCACCGGTATATGTACATTATGGATGCAATAAATACTTGAATACCTTGTTGAGTGATCGAGAGAGAGATGAGAGTAAAGCGCTACCGCTAAACAAAAGGCTAAATTCGGATATTGGTAATTTACATTGAAATTGTTTTCTTTTAAATATTGAATAATAATTATTATAAAAATTCTGCCCGTGTCCCCGCTTTATATGAGGTGTGTTATGTCTTGTGATAACTGAATGTTGTACTAATATTATCTAGCATATGCACCTGTAACAACATCTTATGCTATGTTTATCCCAGTTAACGTACGAAGATGAAATAGATTTTGATAGCTCTGAACTATAACATCAAACATGTTCACGAAAGGAGAACAAACTCAATTCAGTCGTAGCACACGAACGTTCGTTAGTCCAATCGCATAGACAATGTCGAGTTATTCGTCTATGAAACATACACTGAACTGCGCTATTGTTTAGCAAATAGCTATCTTCAAAGCTCTCTAATGATTCATTTGAATGGATCACTTGATATAATAGACGATTAAAAGGTAAACGAGCTCATAGAATAATCAATATTATCATTCTTCAGCTCAGGTGCACTATCTGCAGAGTTTCTATAATACCTATAGGTGTTCGTTTTCTGCTATACTTATCAGTTTTGTTCATCCTTCATCTATTCGCTACTCGAGATGCTGATGACACTGATGTCTTCCCAGCTCATTCTTCAACGATCGTTACTTCTTTTTCAAACTTGAATGTCAAAACGTAAGTTCAAAAAGGATACGTGTTTTTTTTTTTTGCTTGTATCATTGTACAAGCAAAAAATCACGTTTCGTCATCCCCATTTAAAATTCTGCTCCACAATTCAAAGTAAACTAGCACATTTGCACTCACTTTAAAGCTATTGCTTAACACAACAATGAAGAACATTAGTAAACACGGAAGAATAATGTTACGTTTACATTCAAAATGGCTTCACAAAAATTACAAAGAACTATAACAAATTCGCTTACAACGATTTCCTACAGCCGACACGTTAATAAAGTGTCAATGACTCATAACCGTTTGCAATCGTATTGTTTTTTTTTTTTTTGTAAAAAGCACAATCCACGCAAATTATATTGTAATTCAGCTAAGAATGTCTGATTCCGTTTCCTCTTCTTGTTTCTGATTGGTATAATTAAAACATTATATCGCGTTATATTTTGAGTGAAATATAGCTTTTTTTGATGTCAGGACCCTTTTTATTTTAAGCGTAAAGATTCTAAATTTGTAATAAAATGACAATAGTACTAATATTGGCCACGTAATACCAACCGTCCAACAGATATGACGTAGTGGAAAGAAGTGATTAGGTAATATTATTGAAAGAAAGCTTTGTTTGACGCACAGGGATACTGTTTTCCACTAAGCGCCCTGTCACCGCCATCGGTTCAATCTGTCACTCTTGCACAGCCATTGTTACCGTGTAAAACTAAATGATGGTCTTATTTCTTGCATCATAATAACTAAAATGGCATGCAATTAGTATCTATTGGTTGAAAGAAAAATCACGTTTTAGTCTACGAAAGTAAAGCGAGAAAAGTAAGTCAAAATTTGACATTTTGCGTCATCGTTCCACTTGAAGAAACGAAGACTGCTTCTAATTTAGTTGTCAAAATATTGTGATTGTAATCACGTTTCCAAAATTGTGACATCAAAAGGTTATTTAGGGAAAATGGAATTGCCTATCGTGAATGTACTATGTAGGTGTAATATCATTTATTCACAGAACATAATAAATTGCTCCTTTGTCTTTACAACCTGCTTTTGTTGCCTTAATAACTAATTTTATACAAAGTAAAGAATAAAATGTAAGAATAACTTTCACGAAAAATCGAGAAAAAATATTCGTAGGCGTTTATTTTATAGAAGTACCTCTGTAGTTTACTTAGCAGTAATAAATTATTGGATAAAGTGTATTTTTATGATCCTAAAAAGAATAATGGTTTCCTTAAGTAACTTTTTTCTGATATCCGAAACTCATTTGAGCGATAAAGAACATTAGCTCGCCTTTTCTTACGATTTTGAGACTTCTAACCAGTCTCAAATGAGATATAATCGTATTAGTATATTATGTTGACCTTGTACGATGGTTTTCGTGTTAGGAATTATTAACGAATGCACTAAATGTCAGCTCTATACAACCACACGATTCGACATGCTATTTAACTTCACATATAAAACAATTTGTCAAAGTCAAAGTCAAAATCATTTATTTCAATTAGACCAGGATGGCACTTTTGAACATCAAACAACAATTTATAAGTGAAGCTAGTTGCTCATTCCAAGGCGTAGATTCCTATGGAGAAGAACGAGCAAGAAACTCCATAGGTTACTCTTTTTCAATCAGGTTTACTATAGAATTCTCTAGTTACATCGTTTTATTGGTTCGATTATGTGAGAACAATGCAACACCTAAATCCAGTCAGAAAGACTGAAAAAGAAAATGGACCTTGAGGATAATAAAATAAAATGATACAGTCTGGATTCCTTGAACATTGAATTCCAATGACATATTCTTTCGACATGATAATATAATCATATACTTAGTCATGTAGAGGAAAATCTTAGTCTCCGAACGTTTCTCAAAATGCACGTTTTGCTCATTTGATTCTTAGTTGTAAATATCCATTTATTTGAACTATCACGAGCAGTTTGGTGCAGACCGACAACTGCATTAGTTTGTCGTCGACTTTGTCGCACGACTTTCTCAGCTGTTGTCAGCTGGTATCTAGTGGATATATACCAGTCGCGGAGAACCTAACGGGTAACCGGGGCTCCGGCTCGACGTGCAGGAGAAGGAACGGGGTGGTTTTTAGTCAGTACGAGTGACGCTCCTCTCCTCCTCCTCCCTCCCGCCTCACCTAGGCGTGATCAGTCATCCGATGATTTTCCCCGCTTAAAAAAAAGTGGATATACATTTATCTACGTACTGTTTTAATTGACCTTTGAACAACAACAAACACCGTTTTCTAATTGAAACCATCTATTATTTACTGACACTATATTTCCTGAAAAGATTTACGTATTTATAAGGCCAATAAAAATCATTCGTCTTAAAATTACCGTTGCTCGTCTAGTCTACTAGCACAGCCAGCACCTACTGTGGTTAAATGTTATCTCGCCGTAAACATGTGTCAAACGTCAATAAATAAATGTATGTATGAGTCAGTGTTTGTACAATTAATGTATGTCTTTTATGTGTGAAGTCACAACTAGATAGCTAATGTGGTTTCTGTATAAACTTCTACCTAACTAGAGATAACACATATTTTATCAAATATCAATATTATTATCGGATTATAGCCATTTCTTGGTAAAACAAATCTAACGTCATCACCTCTAACTCAATCATTGGAAAATAGAGTTTTCCCAATAGCTACTCTTGTTTTCGTTCAACAACAATCACGGAATCTTCAAATTGACAATGTCCGATACGGAAATCACAATGGCTCCTGTCTACAATCTCCATTTTGCTGTGGACTTGCGAAACAGTGATTTGCATACATGCCTGTTAATAGGATAGACAGAGAAACAAACAAAATTTTGTTTCACTCTCTCGTAAAGGAGCTAATGTTTCCTTCTAAAGTTCTTGCTTTTAATCTTTTTCTTTTTAGGCAATTCCTCATTCCTATTAATTTGTATTGTCGTCTCATATTGATTAATGAAACTTTGGTGACCATTGTTCCATAAACTAACCATTAACAATTGTACAAGGTCAGATTTATCAGATTAAAAGGGTCCCCATTTATCACTAGACGATAAACCATTGAAAGATTAATAGACGTAAAATCCTTTGAACAAAATCTCTAAAATACATATCACGTACGGGAAAATGTGTCCGACACACAAGGAGATGAGTGATTGTTGTAGATATTGTGGGTATTTACAACTCTGCGTAAAATATCCGTAATACTTTTCATACGAGGATACCGAACAAATGCACTAGGAATTTTGTACATCTGAAAACGCATGTTCCATTACTATCTTCAATTATACTACATCTTATATATTTAATTTTAACAGTTCTTCAGGCGTCTCACCTGCCTTACTATCATGTCGGGCTAGAGTGGTCAATGACTGACAATACATTTAGTTACTATAAAATTCTGACCATTTAGTTAAGAACGTTATGATATTTTACAACAAGTTGATAGACTATTCGATGAAACTCAGTGTCACGGCATCGATATCCTCTCGCGTATAATAATTCCATGTTTGTCATGATCTATAATTATACTAATTGTGTATTTCTATTGTACAACAGATTCTACGACGAATGCAAACGGAGGTATAACATCAAGTTATGGAAAACTTTCACAGACTGCTTCAACTGCTTACCGGTCGCTGCGATAGGTGAGTCTTTTATAATATCCACATCTATTAGGAAATCATCACATCGACATTACCTATAGAGGGTTTACAGATAAAAACTGCCACTTTTCACTGTATTCATCTCTGAACACAATATGATTGTTGTGGCATTATGTCTTTGTTTGCCTCTACCCATTAAATCAACCACTGTCGTTTTACAGTTTATTTATGCCTATGGGATTATGACTATAAAATCTAGACCACGACTGCCTTAAACGCAGGACGATGGAGAAAGGGAGCTAAACGTTTCGTGGTTAGTCATAATGGACTTTAAAAGACTGCAAATATTCAAGCTTTAAAATGTTAGTGTCATTAACATTATGGGTGGGATCGTTTTGTAAAGAACTTCTTCCAAAAGAACGCCAAAAAAGTATGTAGTGTGTCGTGTAGTTTACGAAGTTCTCGAAGCCGGAATTTGACAGCGCGCCAACGACAGCTACAGGAAAAACTAGGGAAAGTTTCCTGCAAAACTTCACTCGGTTCTGTTTTTTGTCGACTGAAAATAAATATGTGTATGGAGACGTCTACATTTAGATGTTTTGGCGCCTGGCGTTTCTGCGGAAAATATACTTATTCGGGTAAACACTGCTACGTCTAGTTAAGTTATGAGTAGATAGTGAGTTCATTTAATGAAAACATAGCCATATAATGGTATGTATTGTAGTTTACACAAGTTTTTCCATGACGTCATAAGCTTGTCCGTTATAGTTGATATTTTTTAAGCTGGGTCCCGTATTTCCAGACCCGTTCAGTTCGGTGATTGATCTAATTAGTCGCTCAGCCGACTGTGAACTTCACTGAACAGATCCGTTGATCCAGCTTAAAATTGTTAGTTGTTTGTTAGCTGCATTGTTCTCAATATTTTTGTTATCAAAACCATATTAGCTATTTCACTGTTTTGCTTGATTGGCTGATAAAATTGCTATCGGTTTGTTTATTAAAGTACAAATTAACTCTGACCCACTTCAAACGTCTGAAGGAAATTGTTGTAAATTGACTTTAGATTATTCCATACAAGGTCAGCGATAAACTATAATTATGCATTTTTTGTTCTTACATTAATTGCTAAGGAGGAACAGTGTTGTACCAATTTTTAAGGTCAGCTATCTAAGAATATAGCACAGTTAACTCGTCGAGTACCGGTTTTGTAGACACAATTATAGAACAATAGGTTGCGGTCACCGGTGACCGCTTGGTGTTTGACAGTTTAAAATAATTTTATCCGTGTTCACTGTCGGTCTTCTAAACATTACATCAAAGAGACAATTCTAAATAGGTATAAATATCTATAGCTACAAGAAGCTCTCCAACCAAAAACATGATTGAATCGAACAGCGACCTTCAACCCCAAAATATCCGATGGGAACTGCGCGCACTCCCATTTCGGTACATTTTCCCCGCAACCTTGTTACTCCAAAATTCCCTATAACTCTGTACGTATAAACGTAGATCGGTTGACTCGCTCACCGCAACGCGAAGGTCGAGTATACGCCAGCTATATTTATCAGATCACGCTACTCACTTTTGATACTATAGTATAGTATTTTTATAGACAGATAGACTTCATATAGATGTTGTATAATGTTGAGACATCTGTCCCGTCTTGATGGATCGTATTTTTGGACACTGTTGACGTTGGATTGAGAAGTGTTGTGCTGACATGTGTGTGAAATGAGTTGTCTATGTCAGAATGGTGTTAAGTAACTTCTGGCGTTGTCGGGTTATTTGTACTGAAGTCACTTTCTTTTATACGCTTAGTCGTTTATACGTTAACCCCAGTTTTTTAACCGGCTTCAAAAAAGTAGGGGGTTCTCAATTCGACCGTATATATGTTTTTTTTATATGGTTTCTATTGGTACGTTAATACTCGTTTCGTGATAATACTCGCAGATAACAAAATTATAAAACTTTTAGCGCTTGGTAACTTCCGTAAACGCGGTTTAAACATGACCAAAAGATTACCAAAAGTATTTACATAAAAAATGAGACTAAACTGTTCACAATCGCATGCAAATTGGACAATAAAATGAGCTGAAAATCACTTAAATAACATTGTTGGTACGGCTACTAAAATGTTAGTATTCAGAGCAAAATAATAAAGACTATCCATGGGACGTGTCAAGTGTCTATTACTTGAACAGATTCCTGGGGCAAGGCAAGCAATTGTAACAGACAGCTTTGATCTTATTCATGAAGATGGTTTCTGTTTGTGGAATAAAATTGAGCCTAGATCTGCCAGTCATCTGTATCGTTTGTTCAAAACTAGATACCCCTTTGAAGAACATTCTGAGAAACACTTCTGCCTCAAAACTGGAAGATTTAATATAATCTGTTAGAATAAGGAGGACAATTATAAAGTAAGGAATTAATTACCAGACCAGTAAGATCATAATCGACAGTGCTGCCATCTACGAAGCGCAAAAAAGAGGAATCAAATTATTCCACCCTTTTTCGATTTTCCTTCTATTAAAGAACTCCATCTTACAATACCAGTAAGATATAATCTCACAGTAACAAGAAACGGGAAACATCTGCCTTAAGATAATGTTTCCACGATGCCTACGTACATACATCTCACGGCCTCGGCAAGTAAAAGTGAATAAATTGGCGACACGACGGAACTAGTAATAAATCAGGAAAGATTTATATAACACATGAACAGCAAATCCAACTACTCCTTTACGTCTATTCTCGATTTTCAACTTTATGTTTTTGAAATAAAGTCGAAAATGCAATGAAAAATTGTCAGATTGGCGCAATTTGATCTTCTGCTGTCTGTACATGATATTAGCATAAGAGACGCGTGTTTGTATATTGGGTGCAGCTGATGAGTTTCGAAGGCTTTGACGAATTTAAATTACTGATTTGGTCTCGTGTACTTAAATATTAGCATTTTGCGTGATTCGTAGTGTTGTGAATTTTAAAACTTAGGCTTAGAGAGTCTAGTTAAAACATGTTGTTAATGCAATGCATTTAAGATTTAACATCTTTCCTACATTTTCATATACAACTACAAGACGGATTTAGATCAAATAAGACTAAAAATCGTGTCCTCTTCATCATAGAAGAAAACAGTAGACAAAGGCATTAAACGTATATTTACAAAAACAATTCAAATCACGTAAACAATAAACAAAGTTGAAGTAATGATGGCAATATTTATCTTTGCAATTTACCTGAAATTGTTTGTTTGGGTCACGAAGCGAATGACGACTTCGATTGCGGTTTGCTCTAGATAACAACTTGCTTTGAATTTGCGGTTCGAAATAAATTAATTGTGCACGTAATGATTTGATGAGGAACTCGACTAGTTTCAAGCCATGCTAGAGGCCTAGGCTATGAGCTATATTCTAGCTCATACTCTAGCGTGTCAACAGTGTCACGCGCGTCGCAGTCGCCGATACCACGAATGGAGGAAAGTGCGCGTGAATCACGGCAGAGGGCGCGTTGGGCCCGCAGACTCGAGTAGCCAGTAGCAGCGCGACAGTCGCCGCGTCGCGGGTCGCGTAATGCTGCTCATGAATATGAGCCTCTAGCATGGCTTGAAACTAGTCGAGTTCCTCGTCAAATCATTACGTGAGTAAGCCGAAAACATAATAATTTATTTAGTATGTCTCACGAAAGTTACAATACAAATTAATTGTGATTTCAATATTCTATTGTACAGTTCAAAATGAGGGAAAGATTTTCTTGTACCTTGACAGAAGTCTACGTATAAAATCGCTAAAGCAAAAATACCTATACAGGAAATTAATAAAACGGCAAAAATAACATCTCTGCTATATTTAACGTCATGTCATTTACCCAAATGGAGTACGTATTTGATTTGAATTTCTCATACACATTGCTACGCCATTTTTTGTCCTTTAATATCAACTCCCACTTGTAATATAATACACGTTGTTCCTCCAGAAAATATATTTTCCGCCATATTAAATGGAACAGAAATAATATTGTCTTAAACCAGATCTTACTGCGATATGAGATGTACTTTCGAATGTTCCTTCTTTAGACGACACACAAGGTTCAAAACCTTCAGAAGTTCTGTAGAATTGAACAAAAAAACAAAAAGAATAACCTTTTATACAAACCAAGGAATTCTGATACCGATCAGAGCATGCGTGTGTGTTGAAATAAATATTCAACAGTTTTCTATGCATTTATTTGCATTTCAAATAAGACTTGTAATTCACTAGGGGGCTGGTCTGTATAGAATCAGCAGTAATACAATAACAGTACTTCAGAAGTGTACCGGTATTTCCTGACAGTGCATACAGGAAACTAAATTAAAATGGTTCTTGGAAAGACCTGAGATACTTAAGGATAATCGGATATTAATACATTCTGTTGTGTAGGACTAAACGTTTGAAACACTAGCCTGTTGAAATATTATATCCTTCTAAATCTAAATGGTCTATTTTCGTGCAAAATTTCTCCTGATTTGATTGCAGTTTTTGCGTAAAGACTAACAAATGTACACGCGCTCTCAAAAGTTCGTTATTCACTACTAAGATGAATCATTATAAAAAGTTTTGCTCGACGATTAACGGTACCGAAATCATCTTCAATTCAATTCAATATATCAATGTCAATGTTTGGTTCATTGAACTTTGAATGTATCATTGCAATTTGTACATGCTATCTGACAATCTACAGACAGATGTTTTGATTGAGTTCAATAGATATTGAAAAAAAGACAATAGGTTGGTGTAAACATATGCAGTTGAGTTGAGTATAGATAAAAACTGATTGTCATGTAATCCCCGAAGTCGTATTTTTTTAGAATTCATCATGTAAATTGGCAATGACTAGGTATGTCAGCCCTATAAAAGATTTTGTCAGGCCTTAACATTAAACATAACCCTTTAACCATAGAAGTCTGCGCGCGCCTCAAAGAGCCATCAGAACATCACGGATGGGGCCCAATAGGGCTGATGCCGATACGGAACCGCGGAGAACCTAACGGGTTACAGGGGCTCCGG